CGAGGCCATAAATTACAAAAAAACACTGAACTATTTGTTAAATTATTGGCTCGCCCGCCCCTTGCCCTGCCCTGCCCCGCCCCACTATTTATTGGCAAGGTACGGGGCAAGCCAGAAATTTAACAAACGGTTTGGCCGAACTGCCTAGAACCGGCAGAATCCCACCATTGGATTCGTCCATCCAAAAAGCAGATCCTGCCCCTATGGCAATAACACTAGATGATATTCCATTTATCAATTAATTTAATTTAACAAAGCCACAATATGTGAATTCAAAATTGAACAAGATCACTCTAGGAAGAGTACCAATGTGTAATCTTGTCCCAATCCAATTCAAACTAGGTCATAATTGGTTGATTCTTATTTTGTTTTGTTTACTTGTTTTTTTTTTTCTTCAAATTTTCTACCCTCCTAGACAAATTAAGAGATTTCCCATCAGCAAGAAATATTTCTTGTTCCATTATTTTCCTCTTTTCTCTTTAGAAATTTGCCTTTAATTTCCTAGCTTTGGAATCTGGTGACTGCTCAATTTGCTCCTTCATAGTTCTGCAATTGACCCCATTCTGGTTTCCTTCAAATATAGATTAATAGTTTGAGGGTTTGTTCAGGATGTAATTCTTGAGTGCTTTGGAACTGAGTTCCTGATTCCCTGTTCCAACTACTCCCTTGTCTTCCCACAAAGGTAAAGCATTAATAGTAGGAAAGTCCAGACAGGAGAAAAAAGCTGATTACAAGGTAAGGAATGTTTAAATGGGAACTCCGCTTTCTAAATGTAGTTTGATTTCTGAGCTCTGTAACTGATATAAAAAAAATTCCCATCTCTACAATCCAGTATATTAACAACCAAAAAAAAAAAAAAAAACCCAACAATTCTTATGAGGCAGACCTGGTGTGCACTAACCTTAGTTTAATTAAACCATGCTGGGTTCACATAATATTCAAAGTTGTAAGTCATGTTTAAAACAAGCATGTCTGGGGTTTACATCTTATGCTAAATCATAAACAGATAAATTGCTTCTTGATGTTAATTATTGGAGATCCCAATATTATCAAAACTCCAAATCTATTCTGAATAAATTTCAGCAAGAGTAACATAGAATGGCTCTTTAAAGGCATCCATAATGTCTCTATTCAGTCCTAGAAAGCACATTAATTGAAAATCAAGTCCTTTGCACTATATAGCTTTACATGCAAATACATGCACTGTATAATTCTATAATTCAGAATTACGCTGTTAAGTAGATGGTTTTATTGTCTGCTGTCATTAGTGCATGTTTGTCCTTTTATATGGAAAAGATATATTAACATAAAATCATTGACCTGCTCAGAAATTATCATTGTTTTTTTCTCACATTTCCTTCCCCTCCTCCTCCCTCTACACCATAAGAAGAGCTATAATTAAATGATTTGGGCAGAGACCCATTCTTAAAGAACTTCATCTTGCTTTTAAATACTTCTGCTCAATCTCCAAGGAAACCATTTCTATTTGTGAGTCCCTTAATGGTTGGATAAGTAATTTTTACCTGCATTTCTATGCCTGATGTGTCATGACAAATTCTTAAAGGTATCAGCAAATTGATATTAATCAAAGTTCTCTATATTTTTAGTTTGTCCTTCTTAGGGAAATATTGCATCTATGACTGTAACTACATTTTATTTATTTATTTATTTATTTTGCTTTTTATGACCCTATGGTTCCTATTAGGGTACAGTCACAAGATTGACTGGAGCTGAGCATTTACTGATTGAATGCCCTTCATGACACCTACATGAAGTTTGCAGCAAATATTTTTCCTTTGCACCATAGGAGAGAAACATCTGCCATTACCTAGGATTGAACTCTCAACCTTCCAAATGAGAGATGAGAGTCTTCACCATTAGGCTACTGTGCCACTCTTTTCACCACTAGGCCACCATGCTGTTCGTTCTATTGATTGTAACTACATATAAAAAGGGGTTAATGGTGTTATTTTAATTTTGGAGGAAAACCAATTAAATAGCAAACAGCAAATAGCAAGTGCTCTTTAGCCTACCTTTGTTGGCTGATAGATTAATTGGTTATGCTCTTCAGTAACAGGAATTCGTTGGATTACAAACAAGCAAATCAGGAACAGCACAGCATACAATTACAATAATAAAACAACAACAACAATGCATTAACATTATAAAATACTTTGAATTGGGCTAAGAAAAGGGTAGGCAGACAATGTCCATGGTAAACTTCTATTGTTTATGATCCTATTGATTCATCCACATCCACAGCTCCAGTAGATTGAAACCTTCTCCCATTTAGACATGAAAGGTTTAAGGTTTAAGGTTTATTTGGATTTATATACTGCCCTTCTCCCGAAGGACTCAGGGCGGTGAACAGCCAAAAATAAAACACATACAATATAAAATTTAAAAACAATTTAAAACATATTAAATAAATTTGGCCCATACTAATTAAAACACCCCATTTTAAAAAGCAAATTAAAATTAAGCAATTAAAAAGAGTTAGGCCAGCCCAGCTTGTTGGAATAAAAAAGTCTTGAGGGCACAGCGGAAAGTGTGTAAATCCGGGATCCTCGATATCTCTGGGGGGAGCTCGTTCCAAAGGGCAGGTGCCCCCACAGAGGCCTCCCCCTGGAGGCCACCAGTCGACACTGTTTGACCGATGGCACCCTGAGGAGCCCCTCTCTGTGGGAGCATACTGGCCGGTGAGAGGCTACCAGTGGCAGAAGGCGGTCTCGTAGGTACCCAGGTCCTAAGCCATGGAGTGCTCTAAAGGTGGTAACCAATACCTTGAAGCGCACTCGGAAGACCACCAGGAGCCAGTGCAGCTCGCGCAGGAGAGGTGTTACATGGGAGCGCCATGTCGCTCCTACAACCACCCACGCGGCTGCATTCTGGACCAGTTGGAGCCTCTGGGTGCTCCTCAAGGAGAGCCCCATGTAGAGAGCATTACAGTAGTCCAGGTGGGAAGTGACGAGGGCATGAGTGACCGTGCATAAGGAGTCCCGATCCAGAAAGGGACGCAATTGGTGGATCAGGCGAACCTGATAGAAAGCCCTCCTGGCCACAGCCGTCAGATGTTCTTCTAAAGACAGCCGTGTATCCAGGAGGACACCCAAGTTGCAAGCCCTCTCCGTGGGGGCCAACGACTCGCCCCCAATAGTCAGTGATGGTATCAACTGGCTATATCAGGACGCCGAAAACCACAGCCACTCGGTCTTGGATGTGTTGAGCCTGAGTCTGTTTCTCCCCATCCAGATCCACACGGCCTCCAGGCACTGGGACATCACTTCAAGGGCATCATTGGTTTCTGGAAAGGCCCAAAAATTCTGTAGAATTCTCTGCCGGCTGCATCTTTTAGGACAAGGAATGCTTTTATTAAAAGAGCAAGATTGTCATCATGGCTAAATATTTAAATAAGGCCAGGCATAGTATTATTTATTTTTTTATATAAAGTTTATTGTCATTGTACATATATACACAGTATACCCATACAGTACATACATATTTATTATCATGAAAGATTTTTTCCCCCATTTTTCACAAGATTTAGCAGAAGACAAAGCACAATATGGAAATTACTTCATGTCCAACAGGCCTAAATCATCTGCTTTATCAATGCCTCTCAGTAGGTAAAATTAGTTTTAAGGGGATCAAACAGAAGTATAGTTGAAGCATAAATGGGAATATTGTATGATAGAAAGCAACTAAAGATGACACAGTATAAAAATAGGATATGACTTCCAGATCTTTCAACTGTTTTATATATGTAAAGAGATTGATGTATTCATATTTGGAAAATCACAGATGAGATATAATATGTATTTATTAATGCCATTCCTCATGTAAGGCACTTTCATGAAAATTATTGATAAATATAGTAGTTCTTTAGAGAAACAGTGTCTCACTTATAATATAGGTAAATGATTTTTTTGTTTATTTTGAATTATGTTGTGGCATGAATCCTAGAATTAAATGTTGATGGGGCTGTTGTAATGCAGCTATTCATTCATGTTTCATTTGTAGTGTTTGCTTTCACACCTGGTCAAAGCTAGGTAATTATTATATTCTATTAACTAGCTGTACCCGGCCACACATTGCTGTGGCCCAGTCTGGTGCTTCTGCTGGGCTAAAAGAGCGAGGCTGAAGTTCCAAAGTCTCCACAAACATTTGGTGGGCATGGCCAACTTGACATCAAGTCACATGACAGCCCCCGGGCCACGCCTACCCAGCTGGTGATTAGAGAACCGGTTGCTAAAAAACAATGGGAACCACAAAATCCTCCCTCTCTGTCTCCCCCTCTCTCTTCATATCTCTCTATGTGTCTCTCTCTCCCCCTCTCTATCTCTCTGTCTCTCTCTCCCCCTGTATCTCTCTCTGTCTCTCTCTCCCCCCTCTGTATCTCTCTCTGTGTCTCTCTCTCCCCCTCTCTCTGTATCTCTATGTCTCTCTCTCTCCCCCGTCTCTCTGTATCTCTCTATGTCTCTCTCTCCCCCACCCTCTCTCTATATATCTCTGTATATGTGTGTCTCTCTCCCCCAATCTCTCTGTATTTCTCTATGTCTCTCTCTCCCTCTTTCTCTGTTTATCTCTGTCTCTCTGGCCCGGCCTCTTCTGCATCCCCCGCCATCGCCCTTGCCTTTTCAGGCCAGGCCTTCACAGCTCTCCGCACCACAGCAGAAACTCGGGGGTCCCCTCCATCCTCTCTACACAGATGTTCTCTGGGGGCTCAACGGGGAGATGCATAGCAGGGCAGGGAAGGGAGGGAGGGAGGGGGTGTGGTGGGGGTTCGAAGCTGGTTTGGGGCTTCCCATCTGAAGGAAGAAAGCAGAAAAGCCAGGAATCACGTATACCCCACTGGACCCCTGCTGTGCAGTTCTCCTCCCCCGCCTGCCAAGGGCAGGGGAATGATTAAATCCCCTGCTCTTCCAGGCAAAATGAAGGAGGGCTGGCCATCCTCCCTCCTGCCCGTTTCTGCCCCCCCAAAGCCTCCCTGGAGCCCCTTTTCTGCCAGAGGCTGAAATTTTCATGTAGGCTCCGTGAACTGCCAGAGCGCCCACCTGGGAATCAAAGGCAGCGCTGGTCAAAGGCAACCCTGAGGCTCCAGTTGCCTCCATCTCCCGCTCACTGACCGGATTCGCATAGCGCCAGTTAGCGGCTGGTCTTTCTGACCTCGGGGCCCGTGGTAGCACTGGGCCAGGCACAATTCGGGCCAGGCGAGGGACGGAGGGTTCCTGCTTGGTGGACCCAGGCAGCCTCATTGCCAGGTGTTCTTTGGAGGGAGTCCCGAGAGCGGCTGGCGAGGGGGATGGGCAGCAGCGGCAGGTGAGGCTAGTTCGCAGGGTGGCTGGGAGAGGGGAAGGTCAGAGCCAGGCTTGGGTGGGCCCCGCCCAGCCCTAGAAGCGCTGGCTGCGAGGGCTTCCCAGTGGGGAGCCAGCTGCCTACCTGCCGAGCCTGGTGGCAGGATATGGCCCTCGGGCGTCTCTGCCTTCCAAATGCGCAGTTTCTTGGAAGCAATATGGAGAGTCTAAATATAAGGAGCAGAAATCTGTTGAGCGTAATCAGGGCTGGGAGGCTGCCATGTTGGTTTTACGTCCAGCAGATGGCTCTGTTTTTCAATGTTTGTCAATGTTTGTCAATGTCTTTCAATGTTTTCCAATGTTTTTCATGTTTTCACCTGTCACACGTGTGACATATATATAATATAGGTATATAAAAACATGCCTGTAGTCGAATGCAACGTTGTGTCAAAATTTGAAAGCAATCGGTGAAGAACTTTCGGAGATGTGCGGTTATGTACAAACGGACATTTACATTTTTATATAGATTGCTTTCAAGTGTTGTAATACTTGTTAAGACTTCACATTTAGTGGGTTAATTCCCCATATAATTCATTTATTCAGGAATGGACTTCCAAAGAAGAAATTGAAGATGGCTCCTCTAAAAACAGAGTTGATGACCACAGAAGAATGAAGAGCTGGAGAGTAAAATGGCTCCCCATAATCAATCTATGGACAAGGAGGGAACCTCAGATCAGGGGTGGTATTCACTTACCTTCGCTACTGGTTAGCAAATGTGAGTGTCCACCTCTGCACATGTGCAGAGCCTTCCACACATGAGCAGAGTGTCAAAAACGGGATGTCCGGATGATGGGCAGAGCCTCCCACAGCCGCTGATACCTGTTCGCCCAAACCAGATAGAACCAGCTGAATACCTCCATTGCCTCAGATCACCACAGGTTCTTCAGACAGATGAAATCTAGGAGTTCTAGAAACAAGGAATAGCCATCTCGCTGAAATTGCTGTTGGCACCTACAAAAGGACACTAGATTTGAAAACTTCCTTTTCTAATTACTTTTGGAATTTGCTTATTAATGGCTTTTTGGCAAGTGGGAATCTTTTGGTTAACAGGTTTTATAGTACCAGTTTCCTTCTAGTTTTAAATATGTATAAGGATTTTTTAAAAATATTTTGGAATAAATAGCAAAAGAGTAATTAGAACTTTAATTTTGGAAAGTTTCAAATGGATTAAAGGACTAGACATATTTGGAATAAGATTTTGAAATTAATCATAAGAATCCTTTCCAGATTAGTGAAATAAAGAAGATATATTAAGAGAAAGAAGCAAGTATTATGATTATTATGTTTAATATTATCATTTTAATATTATATTATAGAATAGAATTAATGTTAATGTAATTAATATTGTTGTAAATCTTGATTATCATTTTACCTGGACAACAAATGGTTTAACTGAAGGTGGAATTATTATGTTAAAAAATTATATATAATCCTTCCCAGGATACTTTTTTTTTAATTATCTTAAAAAACTAAAAAGTATGATAGGATAAGATGTTGGAAGTTGGACACTAAAAGGGAATCAGGTGAATTAATTTACAATTAAAGGAGAACACTTAAATTTGACTTAACAATACAGAATGGACCAAAATATTTTAATATTGGATATATTGAAGGATATTTTTGAACAATGGAGTCAGAAATAAATGTTAAGAGTGCTTGCCTATATAGATAGACTGTGTTTAAACTTGAGAAACAAGTTTTACCTGACAAGATTGAAATCAATAATTTACTCAGGGACAATTTATTTTAATTAATTTACTTACTTTGAAATTTACTTTCAAAATTATTTTTGACTTTTCTGTAGTAGGCTTCTGATATATAGTATTTTTCTCTATTTTTCCTATTTGGTTTTACTCATTACAAAGAAAATAATGTTGCGAACAAGTTTATGTCACATCTATTTGCAGATAAACTGATCTACACATAGATGACTATTGGTTGAGTTTTTATAATTAATGGAGTGGAATGTACTACCATGTAGTATAATGATTAATTTGGGAAGTCTAATTTCAATATGTAAATGAAGAACAATTTTTAACTATATTGAATATTAATTAAAGATAAATAAAGTGAAATATCATTTTTAAAAAAATCTATTTTAGGTTTCACCTTAGCAGAACACAAAGTGACAAACTGTGTCTCTTGGCCAGAATCAACTTTCAGGCCCTATATACAGTAATTACATCACATTTAAAACAAAAAAACTTTGAGACTTGGATGTTGAATTCCAGATGAGACATTTGAATTGCACTTCTGGGTTTCTTTTCATCATCTTGATCTGAAAATATTATTAAAAAATACAGCTCAGTTCAGAGAGTCTTTTTTTTCCTTACTATTTCAAAACTGCCTTGAGATATCACACATTTTCCCCTCAACAGAGGTGGTTCATAAAGCTTTATTTTTTTATGTAAAAAATAAATATGTGTGATACTGCAATAATGATTAAAAGTTCCTATTTAATGCTACAGTATAAGAAAAATATTAAGAGATATTGCAACTGTAGAAATATAGGCTTTGATTCATATGCTCCTTTGAGAGGCTCGGGCAGGCTGCTCTTGCCCTGTGTCCAGTAATTATTTACATGGCCAGTGCTCATTCTTCTGTCCCTGATGAAATTGTCAATTCACTTGATAAACAGGAAACAGATATTAAGTATTTTATCCATTGTTCAAGTAGTGAGCAGTAAATGTTGAGTGTCCTTTACTTAAATCAGCTATCTATTCTTCCCCTCCCACCATCCTGCCTCACACGTGCAAACACACACAAATATGAAGGAAGTATATAGAAGACATATATTTTGTCACTGTATCTGTCCTCCCTTTCTTTGTCTCTCTTTCGGGTCTCGTCAACAAGCAATAAGCTTGCAAAATAATTAAACTAATGTTCTTCATTTGCTATGTCACCAGCTTGCTATGCACTTTATGTTAGCAAGAAAAAAAACCCCACAAGTTCAGTCATGCATTTAGGCTGAGTTAGGGATTCCAGATGTCAATCATTAATCTCTCATAATTTTTTTTTTACCTTTGTTTAGGTCAGAATAGGAATCAAATATTGAAAGAAGATTTTATTTCCTTCTTTTATTATCATTTTTTCTAGCAGTTATATTGCTCAGACTACTTTAAGGATAGGATTCATGTAACAACCATAATTTGCTCATGGCCTCATTCAAGACAAGTCTAATACTTCACCAAGCAGCTTTCAAAGAAATGGCCCATGACTTCTGTAGACATCTCAAGAATTTTTGTCATCTCTTCTGTCTCTGTTTTGCTTTTTTATTCTGATTCTTGTTATCTATTATTCTCTGGGTTCCAACTCCTAACTCCTAACATAATTTTCTCCAACTGATATATTTAATAGTAATATTAACCAATTCAAGTTAAAGGAAAGTTGTTACAAAATGTGTATATTTTTATGTATGATATAATTTCATGTATTACCTAGTCAAAAAATATCAAAGGTTTGTTCTACATTCTTTGATCCAATTCTAAAATCTGTGGCATTTTTTATAAATGAAATTATATTGGAGCTGGTGGTAAAGTTATTTTACAGATAGAAGAGACTAATTGTAGCTCAGGGTTGAATTGTGGAGTCCTTGGTGTTCTCTGAGTTTGGTTGTTTTCTTGCAGACATTTCAATACCAAACTAGGGAACATCTTCAGTGCTAGTAGAAAGGGGCATTATTCTCATTTTACACACCAGTGGCTTGCCTTGTCAAACATTCTTCAACAGTCTAAAAACTGAGGTTTGTGTGAAGTTTGTCATAATTGAATATTGGATGTTGTCTTTCTTGTCTGCATTTGAAAGTTTCTTCTATTGCTAATGATATTACGTGACTATATAATAGTCACCCTGTTACAAATATCACAAATTATGTAATAATTGTTCTTTTTTTTTGAAAGTGACAGACAAACATAGATTGCCTACAGCGTTCATTATCTCAGAGTAATCCAAAATGTGTGAACATAAATGTAAAGATTCCCCCTGTCCAATTGTGTCTGACTCTATGAGGTGATGCTCATTTCTATTTTTAGCTGAGGAAGCAGCATTGTCCAAAGACATTTCTGTGGTCATGTGGCCAGCATGACTATATGCCAAGGTGCATGGAATGCTGTTATCTTCCCACCAGTGATGCCAGTTTATCTACTTGTATTTGCATGCTTTTGAACTGCTTGGTGAGCAGGAACTGGAACAGGAACAAGAGCTCACTCCATTGTGCGGTAGGTCTCGAACCCAAGTTGTCAGCTTTCTAGCTCACAAGCTCAGCATCTTTTATCTGCTGAACCATTGTGCTCCATCCTATAAACATAGAAAAGATAAAATAACCATTAAAAAGAGTTAGGCAAATGCACAGTAATAAATGCAAGCCACGCATATATTTTCATGGGTTCTCTGCAGTGCTGACTATGCTTTGAATTTCATTTTTCTATGGCACAGTCTCAAAAAGCAATCACAGCCAAATAGTCTCTTATGATACTTACGATACTATATATATTCTCTCTCTCTCTCTCTCTCTCTCTCTCTCTCTCTCTCTCTATCATTGATCTATTTTTAAATTCTGATTTAATATAAACATCTTGCATGACTTGATGATAGATGATTGTAATATTTTCCAAACAACCTATGAGGTGGTAATTAAAGACCACTCACAGGTTTTACTGCATTGCCAAGGGAGGGGGAGGGGATCCAAGTCAACCAAATTATACTGAACTTTCATTTGATGAAGCCAAACCTTGACCTTGATCCTATGATATATAAAAGCATATATTGAAGGTGTCTGCATTTAACACTTACTTGATTGTGGGTTCGTAGGAAGGTGATAGATCTATCCTGCATTTTTTTCCTGGGTATGATTATGGAGAAATATCTTCATATGAATGCACACAAGAAAGTTTAAAGGATATTGAAGCATTAACCTTGCCCTTATTGAGTGGCTCTCAAGTAAAGTAGGATATTCCTTGGACAGCATGGGTATTTAGATCTAAAAGGCAATGAAGTTTAAATACAATCAAGTGTTAGAAATTTCAAGTAAAAACAAATATCATCATTAATACCCTCACTTTTATATAGCTGTTACTATGATCAAAATTACACAGAATAGCATCATTTTTTAAACCACCCATAACAAACATTTTTGTATAGATTTATTATCTGATTCAGCATACATTATTTATAACATAAAAAAGTAAAACATCTTGATGCATGTGCTAGGATTAGGATTTATTGTTCAAGAATCCTTGAACAATTTTATCAAAAGCCCATTTCTAGATAGTGTTTATATGCCATAAATTATATAGCAGAAATATGCCCAATGGACACTAAGAAGAGATAAATGAGAGCTGATAAAAGAGGACCATCACAAGTTTGATGGATTTTCACCCATTTAATTGTTTGTTTGTTACCCTATGATGATTGGCAGAAAATCATCTATTGGAATTTTGAGTCTAATGGTGTTTTCCACATTGGAAGAAGATCCAGAAAATAAAATGAAACCTAAGTGAAATCAAATTCCCATACCTGTTTATGTTGAAGAAAATAAGTCACAGGATCTAGGGTTTTTTTTTTTAATGCAACGGCTTCAATGCAAGGGTGAACAATTTTTCTGGTCTTGAAGATGACTAATTTAGTTGCTAACTTGTGAGGTGTTTGTGAAAATCCATCCATCCATTCATCTAAAGATTTTCTGCAGGGGTAGTGTGAAAGAATAAGAATAGTAACTTTTCATCCATCTTTTACTGCATTTCTTCTGCCATCAGCAATAGGATATCAGCAACATTGTAAACAAGTGTCATGTTTTATTAGGAAAGAAGGTTTCTCACACCTGCACTGATTATCTGCTGCCTGAGGCTAGAGTTGTTTTAGTGCTGGTGATAAACCTTTGGAAGAAGGAGGAATGCAGGAAACAAATGCTGAGTTCTTTAATCAGGGAAAAGAAATCAAAACACCAGGCATAACATGGGGAATATTGGGCTTCATGGAAGTACTTGTAAAAAGGAAGTGGAAGTAAATTTGATTTACTTAGTATAAGTCAATGCAAACTAAGTATGAGTCTACTATATTCTGAATATCTCATGGCCATTTCAGTTCTGGAAACACATTTCTCAAAAGAGACACTGGAATAAATGCAAAGAAGGGCACTGATGATGATCAAGGAACTTGAAAATAAGTCTTACAAAAAGGGGATGGGAAAACTGGGTAGCTTTGAGAAAAAGAAAAGACCATCTAATAAACTTTTCATGACCCAGATGGAATGTCGAACAAAATAAGTTCAGAATATATTCTCTGTTGTTCCAGAACATAGGTAATGAAATAGTGGTTTTAAGTTACAGGAAAGTAGATTATAGCTGAATGTTAAGAAAAAAAAATACATCTGGTAGAAGCAGTTCAGCTGTGGAGCCACTTGCTAAGAGAAGTGATGAGCCCTTATTATTAAGTATTAAGGTGGCAATGACGACGGAGGCTCGGCTGCAGTGAACGTAACTTTATTGAGAAGATAACAACAACAACAACTAGGACTGGCAAACACGAACTAACTAGCAAACTCACTGACAGCTCCTTAAGGAACCTGTCAACACGGGGCGAGCCAATACGCGAGCAGGATTCTCCCGCGAATTCTCTGCTCGCGTCTTAGCCAATCCGCGTTGACTGGCAACAAGCCTGTCGGGGTGGAGTCGTAACTCCGAGGACTCAACACCCCTCTCTACCCAGATAGCGCATGCGTAGTCCTCCAAATACGCAGGGCGGTGTCGGCTCCGCCCAGACCGCCTCAGTGCAGGAGGGGATGGTGTTGCAGGCGGAGCTGGAGCTTCTGTGGGCGGTGCAGTCGGAGGTGATACAGGGTCCTCGTTGGCCGGTTCCAGAGGCGTCACCGCAGCGGGAAAATCAGGTAAGTCTTCCGACGAGAACGTATCGGTTGGAGTGGGGTTTATTGAAACTGGTAGAGTTGCAGGCCTATCAGCGGTAGTATCGGTGGTTGTGTCAGGTAGGCCTTGACCGATTTGCCGGTCGGCTCTCCTTCTGAGTTGGTTTATATGGCGTCGGAGAGCCGGACCCTATAAGAATAGGGCCCCGTTAGTTGGATGACATGCCCCGGGACCCACTTTACATCAGATCCGAAGTTCTGTGCATACACAGTGTCCCCCACCAGGAAAACCCTTACACCCGCTTGCGTTTCACGGAAGGACTTGGAGATGTAGTCAGGGTGCAAACGGTCAAGTGTGGTCCAGAGACGCCGACCCATTAGGAGTTCCGCCGGGCTGGTTTTGGTGGCAGCGCTCGGCATGGTGTGCTGTGCCAAAAGGTAACGGCAGATGTCATGGTGCCAATTAGAAGTGCCCAGGCGGCGTAGGGCGTCTTTAGCAGACCTAACGGCCCTTTCTGCCTGGCCGTTCGCGGCGGGATTGAAGGGGGCCGTTTGAGCATGGCGTATACCCAACCTGGCAAGAAACAACTGGAAGGGTGCCGATGTGAATTGTGGCCCATTGTCAGTTACCAACACATCGGGTAGCCCATGGGATGCGAACCACCCCTCCAAAACTCTAATCACAGCGTCCGTGTTGGTGGAAGTTAGAAGTGCTAACTCAACCCATTTAGAAAAGGCATCGACGGCTATAATAAAAGTCCGGCCATGGAAAGGGCCAGCGAGATCCATGTGGACTCGCGCCCACGGGGTTCTGGAGGACTCCCATTCCCTCACGGGGGCAGCCGGTGCGACTGGCCTAGTCAATTGACAATGCCGGCATTTTGCCACCCACTCCTCTATCTCCCGGTCCATCAAGGGCCACCACACATAGCTGCGCCCGAGTGCCTTCATGCGCACGATGCCCGGATGGGCATCGTGAAGATGGGCTAGTATTTGGGGTCTGAGGCTGGGAGGTATGACCACCCGGTTGCCCCATAACAGGCAGCCCTTATGCACAGACAGCTCGTGCTGTCTGCGGTGGAATGGCAAAAACCTCTCGGCAGTTGGTTGTTGTGGCCAACCCCTGCGGACCCAATCCAGGACCTTAGAAATGGTGGGGTCGGTTGCGGACAGGGTGCTTATGTCAGTTGCGGTAATGGGTGACCGCAACTCATCAATCAGCATAACGGAAATCGCCGGAGCAGGGTCGTGGACGATGTCTGGGAGGGGACAGCGGCTCAAAGTGTCAGCGTGGGCGATCGCTTTGCCCGGCCTATACAGGAGTTGGTAGGAGTAGGCTGCCAGAAACTCCGCCCATCGGGACATGCACGGAGAGAGAATTAGAGGCGTTTGGCGGTCGCCAGCCAGTAAACCTAGCAAGGGTTTATGGTCGGTAACGAGGTGGAAGAACCGACCATAGATGTAGTCATGGAATCATTTGATTCCAGCTACGGCTGCCAACGCCTCCCTATCAAGCTGGCTATAATTTCTCTCCGCGGCTGATAGGGTCCTAGAATAGTACGCGATGGGGGCCTCCGAGCCATTGGGCAGGACATGGCTAAGGATGGCCCCCACCCCGTACGGAGAAGCATCGCACGTTAGGGTTAATGGAAGGCTGGCATCGTACTGGACTAGGACAACATCCGAGGTAAGGGCGTCTTTGACAGCCCTAAACGAGGCAGCCGCCTTTCGGCTCCAATGCCATGGTGTTTTAGCGTCCAAGAGCCGATGCAATGGCTCAGCTAGAGACGCTTTATGAGGTAAGAACACTGCGTAGAAATTAAGCAGGCCTAAAAAAGCTTGTAGTTCGGCCTTTGAAGAGGGGGTGGGGGCGTTCTTTATAGCCTCCACTTTTGCAGGAGCCGGATGAATGCCCCGGGAGTCAATCAGGAACCCCAAGAATTCAACCTGGGGAACGCCCACCCGGCATTTGTCCCTCTTCAGCCTAAGCCCCGCCTGCCTGAACCGGCAAAGGACAGCCCGTAGTTTGACGAAGAGGTCATCCTGATCGGCGGCTGCGATCAGGATGTCATCAAAATAGGGTACCACCCCCTTAAGGCCATGGAGCAGTTGCTCCATTAAACACTGGAAGATTCCTGGGGCCACGCTCACCCCAAACTGTAACCGTTTACATTTAAACGCTCCACGGTGAGTGACTATTGTTTGGGCTAATGCGGTGGCCTCGTCTACAGGGAGCTGCTGGTAGGCTTGTGCCAAATCCAGCTTAGCAAACAATTGTCCCTGGCCTAAGGAATGAAGCAGGTGTTGCACCACAGGCACGGGATAGGGGTTTGCCTGCAACGCCCGGTTTAATGTACACTTAAAATCTCCGCAGATTCTAATGGAGCCGTCTTTTTTAAGGGGGATAACAATCGGCGTTTCCCACTTAGAGTGGTCCACCGGCTCAAGCACCCCCTGCTCAATAAGCTTATCTATTTCTTGGTCGACTTTGGGCCTGAGAGTGAGGGGCACCCTTCGAGGTTTCAGCCGGATGGGCGCCACCTGGGGGTCCAGATTAAAGGAAATGGGGCTTCCAGTATATTTACCAAGGCTGGAGTCAAAAACATCAGCGAATTCGCTGAAAAGGGAAGATGGCACATCTGGACTGGTGGCATGGATGCCAGAAACGCCAAGGCGCAGGGCAGCAAACCAATCAAGGCCCAGTAGGCTGGGAAGCTTGTCATGAACCACAATCAGAGGCAGGCGGCCAGAGAAGTCACCATGTGAAATGTTGAAAGTTCCACACCCTACGGTAGGGATTGGCTTCCCCTGGTAATCTTTCAGCCTCACGGAACAGGGTTGCAGTTGATGTAAGGAGAGGTTTGGCAGTAGTGCTTGGAGAGTGTTCCACGCCATCAGGGATTTTGGATACCCTGTGTCAATCTCCATTCTGCATGGGGTGCCCTCCAACCGAACCGTGAGGTAAATTTTGTTCGCGGGGGCCCAGACAGAGTCATGGTTGATGGCCACAGATGGAGAATCGAGGTCGCGTTCAATCGCGAAACAATCATCTCGGTGGCCGGATGGCTTCCATCGTTTTTTAACAGGCTCGGAGGTTCCCACGGAGGCCGGGCACGCCGCTCTGCAAACGCGGGATAGATGGCCCCGTTTGCCGCAGCGGCGGCAAACAGCAGATTTAAACCAGCAGTCGGCCCTATTGTGGGGGCCGCCACAACCCAGACAGCTGTTTGCAGGTTTATTGGGAGGCGGAGGCCGCTTATTCTTCTTCACAGACTTGAGACGGCTCACCTCCTCATCCTCTTCAGAGGAGTCTGACAGCTCTGTTTCCTCACGATGGATTGATTGGGGCTTGCTGAGGGGGGCCATCGCTGGTAAGACGCGTCTGATCTCGGCAGCTGACTTGTCCGACATTTCGGACGCTCTGGCTTCGTCCATGGCCACAGAAAGAGTCAGCTCGGAGCGAGCCAGCAAACGTCGCTGTAATTTAAGATCCCTGACCCCACACACGAACTGATCCAAAAGAGCGTCGTCTAATGCAGGGAACTCGCAATGGCGCGCTGTGGTGCGCAGAGAGGCCATATAGTCATTTATATTCTCCCCATCGGCTTGCGAGCGTTGATAGAACGCGTGTCGTCGCGCAATGCGGGAAGGTGCTGGGGAGTAGTGGTTCTTTAGTTTCTGAAGCAGAACCTCCCACGGTACAGTGAAGACAGGTTGAGGAGCAGCTAGAGCCCTAGCGGTGCCGAAAACCTCCCTTCCGCAAGAACTGAGGAAGTACCCTCGTTTCCGAGCACTCGGCAAGTCAGAGAGATCATTAGCTTGTAGGAAACATTCGAATCTGTCAATATAGTCATCCCACGTCTCAGTCAATGAGTCATAAGCCGTGAAAAGAGGAAACGGGGTTGCCATCGCCCAAACGAGTCAGAGTCCAAATCTCATCAACCGTGCGACCTGGGAATCGATCCCACCTTCGTCGCCAGTATTAAGTATTAAGGTGGCAATGACGACGGAGGCTCGGCTGCAGTGAACGTAACTTTATTGAGAAGATAACAACAACAACAACTAGGACTGGCAAACACGAACTAACTAGCAAACTCACTGACAGCTCCTTAAGGAACCTGTCAACACGGGGCGAGCCAATAGGCGAGCAGGATTCTCCCGCGAATTCTCTGCTCGCGTCTTAGCCAATCCGCGTTGGCTGGCAACAAGCCTGTCGGGGTGGAGTCGTAACTGCGAGGACTCAACACTTATTCACATGTGTTTGAGCAGAGAGTTAATAGCCATCTGTCAGAGATGCTTTCATTTGAATTCATGCTCTGACCAAAGGATTCGATTCTGTGTCGTTAGTATTTCTTCCAACTCTCAAATTCTATAATCTGATTCTAAGGATATTTTCACAGGACAGCTCAAAATGTCTAATTTTTCAGAAAACTGATCGGTTTTACTTGAGTTCTAGAAACTGAAACACTGATAAATATTACACTTCATCCATGCTATTTTATTATGGAATATTTTACTGTAGTGCTGATGATTTCATAAACTAAGATTACACACCTACATTGCACAAACAAGAAGTACATGTTATATGTAGCCAGTAAACATAAAAGACTTCTAGTGCTGTCTAATGTTTATCTTCCTATATTCAGTGTTACAATACACAAATGAAAATCCAAGATGCATTTCATAAAAGTGATTCTTGGGGTTATCTTGTATTTTTTTAAAAAAATTGATTTATATGCCACCCTTCTCTGGAGACTCAGGGCGGCTTACAATGCATTAAGCAATAGCCTTCATACTTTTGTATATTTATACAAAGTCAGCTTATTGCCCCCACAATCTGGGTCCTCATTTTACTTACCTTAGAATGGATGGAAGGCTGAGTCAACCTTGAGCCTGGTGAGATTTGAATTTACAGTAATTGCAGACAGCTTGATGTTAATAACAGTGCTTTAGTCTGCTGCGCCACCAGGCTCCTGTGTATTGCACCATGACATATTTGATAATTGAACAAAATAAAAGAGAAAGAAGATTTATGACCCAGGGTCAAATTAGATGAGATTATGGAAGATCTAGGAAAGCTTGAAATGAATTTGGAAAATAGTGCTGGAGATATGATTCTTTTACTCTTTTATATGTCTGATTTAAATAAAGGAAATATATTTTGGATAGAATTAGGTATTGGAAGGATAATCGTCCAGCCATGAATATATAGCCTGTTAAACTTTAATCATTATCAGAAACGATGTACAAAAAGAATCCTTATCCTTTTGAAGTGGTGACAAAAATCCTAACTCCTCCCACCAATATTTTGATGAAGAGAAACTCCTTTGGTTTCTGCTCCTTTCAAGTTGTTCTGGTCTCCACTCCAGCGAACTCCAAGTACAAACACACAAAATTACAGAAAGTGAAGTAGCAGCGTCTTTATGGTAAATGTCCTCAAGCCTGATTTTATGTTCTCCCATCTATGACTGAGACTATAAGTGGACCGATTTGGAGATGTTTAAATAGACTGCACATGACTTGCTTAGAACTAAAGACCACATGGAAAAATAGGGATTTCTCCAAGAGGACAACGTTATTTACTGTGCATGTGGCACTATTCAAATAATTATTCATCTTTTACATGTCCCCTGGAAACAACATGCATACAGAATGACTTACTGGTGGGAAATATCCCTGACATCAATGTGGCCTGGCATTATATAAATGTATGCTTTTATTGTAGTTTTTTATCTTTTTAAATTTAAATTAATAATTTTCCCTTTTCTCGTTTCTGCATTTTGGACATGAGACAAGTGGACTAATATTACATAGCTCCTCATAAACTATATGATGTTATATTATAGGCAATATAATACATATTATGTTACATTACATTACATGCAACTTTTGATAGTCCATAACAAATTTCATCATGTTCCCAAACCAAATGAAATGCACCATATTGGATAATGGTAATTTTCTCTCGTGATACTTGAATACTGTATGGCCCATCATTTAGATTTGACAACTGATAAGATAAACCTTGTAGCCTAACTAATCCAGGATACATTCCCAATATGGTAATGGACAATCATATGATTCTGAAAACTTGGCAAGAAAGATATGAAATGTTCTGTTCTTGATCAAGAACTGTTTCGGCAGTGCTTGTGAACTATATGCTCCTTATGGTATCTGGATTTAAAACAATTATTATGATTTTCCAGCTCATTCCTTGTAGTAATTTTGCTAATTTAATTTGGGATTTCATGTTCAGAATCTTTTCTTAAACTTTGCCATGGCCCGTTCATAACCCCAAACCAGCAACAACTCATGGTTGTTTGTCAGTGATGCCTTCTTTCAAATGATGCCTTCTTTTCATGTCATTTCCAGGAAAATGTTATCGGTAGACAATTAAATGCACTTCATCTTTCAGTACAGAATTGTTTCAGACTTCTGATTGGGAGACATAATTCAAAAGACTCTTTTCCCAGTTCTAGCTGGATTTGTACTAAGGATTTTCTATTATCGGAATAACATTCATATGGTTTATCTACCCAACCTCACTCAGCCTCACTCCATCCCCTTCTATTATTACACAAAAATTCTGTTTTGAACATTACAGAAGAATCAAAAAATTCAGGTGCTTTATATAATATCAAAAATTCTTGGGAATCTTATCTATTATAGCTCCCACTGATTCATTTTAGAACAAATTCAGCTGCTATATCAGGTGTCTAATGCATACAGATCTAATTGGGATATCGTTCTGTACATGCTGTTAGACATGCTAGTGACAAGAAGAATTTTAGCCAGTATTGGCAAGCAGCCACTACATACCTTCCTGGAACAAAGTGCAGGGTAATTAAAGAGCAGGCACTAAGGGAGCACTGCAGAGAGACACAAAAATAGCCATCAGTAAAGTGCCAGAGAACATTTTTCTTAGTAACGCAAAGGATTGTTCAATTCAATAGCTATCATTAAAAGAGATTTCCTTTCTCTGTTTGTGGGACATGTTTGTATATTAAAACAAATTGAGGTTAAAGAATAATAAGGAAGCACAAAGTATCTCAAAAAAGTAAAATTTAATTTTCATTAAAGAATATTTAGCCAAATTAATCTTACTATATGTTCATTATAAGAACACTAGAAGAAATAATATTTTTACGAAATTTAAATGAATATTATATTTTAAGCAAAAGATCTTCAGTTCTCAGATTTGATAGTGTAAAATGTCTTCTTGGTGATTTACTGTGTAGGAGTATTCAAAGAAATCACTGTTTTTGTTTTTAATAATCAGTTGGCTGAACACTATATTGTGCATATTTTTATACAATTTTTCTTGCAAGTTTGGGAGCTAGAACATGAGATTAGAATATTTCTTAGGATAGGAAATTGCAATTTACACTATGTCAGATGCTTCTGAGCAATTCCTATACTGCATGAATAATGATGATGGACACTTATTAGATCAACAAGAAGCTGCCCACAAAATAATCTTGACAATTGTTCCCACATAAGAGAGTTTTTTTAATATAAATTTCAAAGATATCTCCCAGAAATAAAGCAACAGGTATTTCCTGCATTGAGTGAGGAAAGCACATCTTTCTCCTTCTGTCCTGGCCACTTTTTACAGAGGCACAATTGAAAGTGTTTTAACAAATTGCATCACTGTTTAGTTTGGTGGTAGCAGTGCCTCAGATAGAAGGTCCATACGGAGAATGGTAAAACAGCTGAGAATATTATAGGAATCTTGCCTTCTGTTATTCAGGATACTGCTTATAAGCGCTATGTGCTTAGAGTTCAAAGCATTGTTAGAGATCCCTCACAACCACTTAACAGCCTGTTTCTGTTTCTGGGAGGATGATTTGAAGTATTTCTAGCAAAACTACCTGATTCTGTAATAGCTTTGTTCCCTATGCCATCTGTCTGGTAAACTCACAAAATTCGTTTTTCTCACCATGTACATGTATACATCCGAACTAGACTGCATTGTTTTTCTCTGTCATATAATATATGTGGGTATATGTATGTTTGTTTATTTGTTTATTATGTTTATGTAGTTTATATTGGAGGTAGTGACCCTTTGAGAGCTGTATGCAATGAAAATATGCCGATTAGTGTACATTTAAAGTGACAATAAAGTTATTCTAAGTCTAAGTCTAAGGTAGCACTTTTCTACCTGAAGCAAAGAGATAATATAATTCTGGAGTTAACTGATTGCTCAGGATCAAGATAAAGTGCATTATATTGTATATACACAAGTTCAAAAAGGTCAAGTCACTGTTATAAATTAAGAGTGATGGTTTTACCTGAAAAGAAGGAGTGAAGTGATCAGTTCCTGAATGTGTGCTATAGACTTCTTGGTTGCCTATCAAGAGATTTGAACTCAGTGGCCTAAGTAGGATTTTCCTATTCTTGATTTCGCTATAATTTGTAAAAGCAAAATTGGAATATAATTCCATAATTTTTCAGTATAGTTTCCATAATTTATCAGCATTTTAATTAATAAATTCAACAGTTAGTGTGGGGTATAATTAACTAATTTGTAATTTTGATAGCATTACCAGTATATTAGCAGATATAGCATCTAACAATCTGCTAGGTGAGGGAAACATGTAGCTTATTATTTTCAGTTTGGCAGAATAAATGGTGATGGTCCTATCCAAGAGCAAACAATTCTGATCAACCCTAGATTATGGGGTTTAAGCATAGCATAAATACTGCATCAATGAATTATAGTCTGCATTTTTTTACTGTTTACATAGAAGCCAAATTTATAAAATATGAAGTTGTTGACTTCAAAAATTTTTCCCTGTTGTGTCTGATGTCCTTTTGTAAGAGTTCCTATGTGAGGTTGATGTGTGTGTGTGTGTGAGAGAGAGAGAGAGAGAGAGAGACAGATGTAAATGGGTTGAATCAATAGATATGGTTAAATAAAGGGAGCAATGAGAAAATATTCTCATGTATTTTTTTTGTGTGTGGATACCTTGTTCTATAAAGCTGGACCACAATTAACCAAACTATTTAAAATTTAAATTAAAAAAACCATTAAAGTCTTTGTATTTGCTAAAACATGTCAAGATCTATATAAGTAAAATGTAAATATCATAAATAGATACGTACAGTTCATACATACACACATACTTTATACAAGAATTTTATATACCACGAGTGTCAAACTCAATCATGTGATGTGATGTCATGTGATGTATCACAATGTTTTTTGTCTTTGTGGAGCCGGGGTGGGCATGGCCTGCATGTGATGCATCCGGCCTGTGGGCTGCCAGTTTAACACCCCTTGTTTGATATATACAAATATATATATTTGTACATATCAAACAAATAACTCATTTTTGTGTTTTTGTTACTCTGTAAGCTTCCACGTATTACATAGTACTACAAAAATAATGATATTGGTTCTGCTGTTATGATTACGATGATTGCAAACTGTAGGAAGTAATTTAATGATTCCCTGAAGAAAACAACTGTATAGTTTTAATGCACATCATCCATAAAGGTAAAGCTCTCTACAAGTTTTATATACAATTATTACATGGATATTTCTGTAATTTTCTTGACGAATTCCCACTTTATCATTTCAGAATCTTTTTTCCTGTCTCATCTACAGCCTTGTATTCCTGTTGGTGTTCCATCCAATACTACTTGCTTAGCTTTTTAAAATCAGTGAAAATCATCTAGAAGCTGCCATACACTATATGTTAGTAGAAATAAAAATACTGCAATTTTTTTTATTAAAAAGTTTTATCAAGTATTACAACAATTTTTCCCATCCCTCCTCCCCCCCTTCCCTCCTCCCCCCACCCCAGCCCTCCTCCCCCCTTCCCTCCTCCCCCCACCCCCATCCCTCATTCCACCTCTCCCTCCAACCCCCCTCCCCCCCCACCCACCCCGGACTTCCCAGAGCAAATACAGGGTATAACATTTAACAAACATAAACTAAAATATGCTAACTTTCTGTAGGCTCCAAACTCCCTCTTGCTTTTTAACTCCCCTTTCAACTAACAAAACATAATTCAAAAAGGAAATGTTGGTTTCATTCATAAGCTATTTGAAACTTTTTAGTCCGATATTTGTTTTGAATATAGTCAATCCATTTTCTCCATTCCGATATATATCTTTCATTTGAATGGTCCTTCAAGTATGCTGAAATTTTTGCCATCTCTGCTAAATTCACTACTTTTAATGTCCATTCTTCAATGGTGGGTAAGTCTTCCTTCTTCCAATACTGTGCCACCAAAAGTCTGGCTGCTGTTATTAAATTTAAAATCAATTTAGTCTCTATGACCGTACAATCTGTAATTATACCTAACAAAAAGTACTGTGGAGTAAATTTTATCTTCTTTTTGAGAATGTTTTGGATAATCCACCATATTTTTATCCAAAATGCCTTAATTTTTTTACATGTCCACCATATATGATAATACGTGGCATCATCACCTTCACATCTCCAACACTTAGGTTGCAAACTTGGATACATACAGGCTAGCTTTTTAGGATCTAGATGCCATCTATAAAACGTTTTATAAAAATTCTCTCTTAAGTTTTGGGCTTGCATAAACTTTACATTTCTAACCCATATTTTTTCCCACATTTCCATCATTATTGGTTCTTCAATATTTTGTGCCCATTTTATCATACAATCCTTAACTAGCTCTGTTTCTGAATCTATTTCTACCAATGCATTATACAACCTTTTTATATGCATTTGATTTTGGTCTCTAATTTGTTTTACCAAGTTCTCCTCATTTTGCGAGATACCAATTTTCTGATCTTCTCTCCATCTAGCTTGCAGCTGTTCATACTGAAACCATGTTTGAATTATCCTTTCTTCTCTTAATTGATTCAAAGATTTTAGTTGTAATATACCTCCTTCCTTATTAAGAAGCTCTTTATAAGTAATCACATCTTGTTTTTTCTCTACACTTATATTCCCTATCGCGTGTCTGGGTATTGCCCACATTGGTAACTTATCATTTAATTTATACTGATACTTTTTCCAGACACGCAGTAAAGTATTTTTTTTTAAATTTGATTTATATGCCGCCCTTCTTCGGAGACTCAGGGCGGCTTACAATGTGCTCAGCAATAGCCTTCATCCTTTTGTATATTTATACAAAGTCAGCTTATTGCCCCCACAACTGGGTCCTCAATTTACCTACCTTAGAAAGGATGAAAGGCTGAGTCAATCTTGAGCCTTGGCGAGATTCAAACCTGCAATAATTGCAGGCAGCTGGTCTTAATAACCAGCTTAATAACAGGGTGCCTTAGACCACTGTACTACCAAGGCTCTTGGTAGTTCATATATTTCTTAATATATGACTTTTAAAAGTCTTGTCCACTTTCTTATCATATAATAAATAAGCATGCCAACCGTAAACCAAATCATATCCCTCAATATTCAATATTCTTTCTTCTGTTGAATTCATCCAGTCACCAATTGCTGACAGAGCAGCTGCCTCATAATATAATCTTAAATTGGGCATTTTGAGACCTCCTCTTTCACATGTATCCTGCATTATTTTTTGTTTTATTCTCGGTCTCTTCCCTGCCCAAACAAAATTATTAATACCCGTCTGCCATATCTTCAAATTCTCATCTTTTTTGAGTATTGGTATCATTTGAAAAAGAAATAAAAACTTAGGCAAAACATTCATTTTTACTGCTGCTATTCTTCCTAACAAGGATAATTGTAATTTTTTCCAATTTTCCATCTCTCTCTGTATTTTTTGCCACAACAGATCATAATTATGCTTAAATAATTTCGCATTTGATGTCATAATATAAACCCCTAAATACTTAACTTTTTTTACTATTTCAAATCCTGTTAGTCTTTCTAATTCATCTTTTTGGTTTGTAGTCATGTTTT